TGTCACACAGCCAATCAGAATCGCGTATTTCAAACACGTGATCGCTCTCGACCAATCAGAAGGCTGGATTTAATTACCCCAGAAAAGTTGCGTCATACCAAAGGGTACGTCATGTAAGACATCACGAAAAGTCCCCAACATTCCCCTTCATGTAATAGCACACCAAATGTCACGTTTCAACCAATTTTATTCTGACGTCATACCTAGTGTTACAAGCGGGACGTGTGTGACCTCCTAGTGACGTCACGCCCTTTTATTTCGTTTTAAAAAGATAAAAAATGCATTAAAAAATAGCCGGGAAAGCAGTGGCCCTGTGGCGATTGCCGGTACTGGCTAGAATATTCTCGCATCGGTTGATGAGTCTAGCCAGCCAGGTACGACTCGAGGCTTACAGGTTCGAATCCTGTCGAGAACAATTTTTACAAGTCTAACAACATATCTACATTATCGTCATCGACCTCTGACCAGGCACGGTAGCCAAAAGGATAGCTAATTTTAGTGTCTGGGTCAATGACCCGCTTGTCAAAGACCAGTCCATATTGCTTCACTTGGTGGACCAGCTTGATGGTCTTGTTCGTCGTGTTACGCTGAAAATGATTGGGGTTGTTCACCCGAATCACTCTTCGCTCTTCCAGTGGGTCGTCTATCTCTGACAGTATGTTTCTTTTCATGGTCTCGAAATTGAGGACCTCTTTACCCCTGACATTCAGGGTGAAACCACGCACTTTACATTCAGTTTTTCCTCCCCTGGTTTTGTAACCATAGTTCTTTGCCCCGCCCGAGATGAATTCGGTGATGACGTCACCATCTAACTCGTCTGTCATCTCGCCCAAAAAATCACCGATAGGGATGGAGGGTCGTCCGGGTTTCCAGCGGTAAATGACAGAGTCGGTGTCATAGTACAATACTTGCTGCTGTAACACGTCGAGGGCCTCGTACAAACGTAGTCTGGCCCAAGCGGTCGTAAATGCTGCCACAAAAATATTTGTTTTGTTACTGGGAACCACATTGTCATCAAGGTCCGTAGACACGGCTTCTAACACGTCCTCGTTACAAATCCGCAGAGTAGACACATTTTTGTGGGAATGGAACAAAAGGGTAAACAGCTGGGAAGGAGAAGTGATGGTCTCGGTCCTGGGCTTGTTTTGCCTTTCTCCGAATTTTCCCCAGAAGGAGTTCAGCATCAACTTGGCCGTCGCTTTTCGGCCGGGATTTTTTTGAATGCTGGCATAGTCCAAGTCTATGCCCTCTCTTTCTCTGTACTGCGTCAAGTATTGCTGCTTTTTTTCTTCCGTGTCACACCATCGTGGCCAACCGGCGGCTTCCTGTTTTAGCTTTAGCCACGTGTTGACGTAGTCTCGAAATAGACCATCACGTTGCTGTGAAAAATGCCACACCTCGTGAATTTTGATTACCCTGTACCCCTTCTCCAATGCCTTTTCGATCTCCGGGGTACACCATGTTCCTCGCAACGTCCGTTCCTCGGGAGTGTGATTGCAGACGTCGCTCCTCTCTAGCATGGGGTTGTCCTGTTCTTGCTTGACACAGGCCGCACATAGGGGAAAGGTCAACTTGTTCCCACTGCGGACGGGTAGGACAGGATGGAATAGTTCTGCAGGTGCTAAAATATCGACGCTGACAATGCCAAAATAGCTGGCAATGTCTTGAATTCGCGGTTGGGTAATGATGGTGGGGTGACCGATAGGGTAGCGTGCGTTCTTGTTCACCCACGGGTACAGGGAGGTCACGTCGACATATCGAATTTCCTCCCCTTCAGAGGCCACCGCGTGTAGGGCCACGGCACCGGTTCTCCCTCCGAAAAAGGCATTTCTCGGTTGTAGTGGTTCCACTAGCTGCAAGGTGGTCACAAAATCCTTAACATTAGGGTCGTGTTGGCACAACTTGTCCCAATCGTGTTCCCACATGACTTCGAGGTTGTAACCATGGTTGCGGAGAGCGTTTTCTTTGACCTGAGTAGCCCTCCAGAGTTCTTCCATGGTACGATCTTTGGTGTGACGGTTTCTGGGATGGCATTCGGGACAACCGTGAAAGAAACATCCGTGAAACTCGTAAACCGTGTTGGTCTGGGGATCGTACCCATCCACAAAGTAAGAATCTGTGGCAGTGGTTACACTCTGTTCACCCCCGTTTCGCACATGCCTTATTCGGTCTGGGCAGATACCCTGCTTGGGGATGCAATGCTCTTTGTAGTATAACCACTGCAATGCTTTCATGGAATGGTTGACGTTGGCTCCTCGCCATCCTTTGAGTGGTTCCACGGCAATAGTAGCTTCTTGGAGGCAATGCTTGCGCCAGTACAAATTACAGGCACTGGCAATGGTCATGCATTTTTCAAAGGGATTGAAGTCAGCGTGACTCTCGAATTCTTTGGTGAAGGCTTCACAACCAGCTTGTAGGAGAGCCACGTCCGACTTGCAATACTCCTCCATCTCCCGGGCAAAGTCATATTGCACTCCGCGTCGTACTTGGTCAGCGTGCCACTCTTCCAATTCTTTCTTTTTCTTTTCAGACATTCCATCGGGGTCAAAAAACTCAATGCCAGGGATGGAGCCCACGTAATTTTGGTTATGTGGCAAATTGAATTCGTGAGGAAAGAAGCCTTTTTTTAGTTCCGTGAGATTGAAAGCCGATGGAAATGAAGCCAATGGCATGGGTAGGAAACACAGTGAGTCCTTAAACGTGATAGATGCACTTTGAAAGGAAAGGACCTTGGAACCCACAGTGAGCTGATTTTCGATCTCGCGTTGCTGTTTGTACAGTTCATCTATAATAAACATTCCGTCAAAACCTTTGAGATTGTGAAAGATGACGATGACGGTTCTCTCACGGTCATCGTCGGGAATCTCGGTTACATCGTCGAGATCATGTAAGAAGGTGCAGACACAGTCCTTTCCCTTGTGGGTAACGATCGTCTCGCTTTCGCTGGTCCGGTAACACAGCAAGTTGGCTTCAAATTGTCTGTCCGGCAGCTGCATAGCCTCAATGTCGGCATAGACAAAGAGGGGTGGAGGGAGGGGTTTTTTCTTACCATTATCATCATCATCAACATCTTCTTCTGCGTGGTCCACGGCCGGCTGAATAAAACATTTGTGTGCGTGGATCTCGACCATTTCTTTACAGCTTGGGCAAGCGGCAAACCCGCATCGATGTCGCTTGCCCTTGATGACATTGTATTCTGCATTACACTTGGGACAAGTTCTGTGTTTGGCGCATTGATTTTTTTCACGATGATAGTCAAAACAGTCGTTGCCGTAAAATCGACAATGGCAATTTGGACAGACCAGAGTGGGACTGACATCACGATTGTAGTCGGAACAGGTTTTTCGATTGCAGGCTTGGCAAGTTCTTCCTTCGCAAGGGTGATTCTTGGCATCATCCACATTAAATCCTTTTTCACAGAGAGAGCACCAATACGAACGGTTTACAAAGGCTGGAAACGAGGTGCAACCATCGTAGTGGGTGTCTGACTTTAGGAGTTTGATCTGTTTAGGGGCAGGCGGTCCCTTGAAAATCAGAAAAAATGGTTTGGTGCGGCACATCACCAACAATTGATAAGTCGGTTTTAGATACGCCTGAAACTTTTTCAGCTCCTCTAATCCACACGGACCGGGGTCCACGCCTGCCAAGTGGTGCAGCTCGCGGGCTTGACGTTCTTGAATGGCTCTACCCTGGATTATGTCTCGATAATCGTGATACGCATCATTGGTGTCGTCTTTGTGGGCATGGGCTCGCATTGTGACGATGGCACGGGCACAGCAGAGAACGTCATTGTTTTTAATGGGAATGATGCAACGTTTCTTTTTGTTTTCGTTATCCAGGCATCGACGTCCGGGATTTCTCTTTTTCCCTCGACCACTACCAGGTTGTGGGCGCCTCACAAAAACCACCTCCACTTGAAAGCCTTGTTCAGGGTCGAATGATTCATTGCTATTAAGTTTGCCAGCTAACTCTTGCAACAATTCATTTAAACGCACAGATCGTTCCAGAAATTCCCCCACCGTAAAGTTGATGCTCTGGTAAGCATGGGTGAAACCATAAGCGGTGAGGTTAAAGTTGACAAAATCGTTGTGGTGTCTGACCTCCCTTCTCAGCTCTCTCTCGATGGTGGCGTGTAAAGCCTCGGTTAAGGCCGCACCAATGTCGTCGCCAGGCACGGGTTCTCTTAATTGGCGAAGCGCAGCTCTGTACTGTGCCCTTTCCACCACGTTTCTCCAGCGTCTTCTCGGGCCAATGCTTGCCAAAGTAAAGGCAAACAAAGGTTGGCGCGAACCTCCTCCTTGTTGTGTGCCTTCAAAGTCGTCCATGACTTGGTTAAAGAGATCATCATCATCAGAGTCCAAAGTGTCTTCCCAGGAACGTTTCATCTTGGCAAGCAAAGCTCGAATGAAAAATGATTCAACCCACTCTCTTATTATCGAGAACGATTGCACCATCATGATGAAATAAAAATTGCACCATCAAGGTGCAACAAGTATTGCACCATCCTGATGAAAAAAGACTATATATCCCAAAAGAGGAAGAAATCCATGTGGGATGGCATTTGTGTCTCTTTCACAGAACGTATGTGCACAAAGGAATTTTGGTAAAAACACTCCAAAACGTTCTGTAGTTACCCCGAGGGCTGGTGTCGGCCATGTGGGATGGTATTTCTGTCCCTTTTTTCGACACGGCGCATGCGCAGAAACAACTTTGACTAAAAACGTTCCCAAACGTTCTCCATTTACCCTAAGGGTTGCGGGTAGCCATGTGGGATGGCATCTCTGTCTCTTTTTGAACACCACGCATGCGCAGAAATGAATTTTGGTAAAAACGATCCAAAACGTTGTCCATTTACCCCGAGAGTTAACGGGAACCATGTGGGATGGCATTTCTGTCCCTGGTTCGACACCGCGCATGCGCAGAAACAAAAGACGCGTTTTTAGTGACAAAAAGAATAAATTTAATAAAACAAGACATTACACTACATTACATTACACTTTTAGTTTTAGTTTGGTTTGCATGATGCCTTTGACAATTTTTTCAGTCTTGGTTTTTCGCCCCGGCAAACGATTGATCTTGGCGATCATCTTTTCATCGGCTTTCCACTTGTCCTTGAGTGACTTGGCTTTGCTGTAGTCAATGTCATGCTGTTTGGCTATCCTGTCCAATCGATTGATACCTGGATCTCCGCGGGCCAGTCGTTTCTCAAGCTTGGTGCCTGGGCCCATGTACTGGTACCCTGGCCAATGGAACTCGATGCCCGTTTTGGACAAAGCCTTTTGCACGTCCAATCGACCACCTCTCTGTCGTCTCAACGAATCACGTCTCAACTTGCGTGTGGTTCGAGGCATCTTACTTGTACTCTAACCACCGTCCCAATAACTGTTTTCCTTTTTTGGTGACTGCCTGTTTACCCTTTCGCTTCACCGCTGTCTTTGCGTGTTGCGTGACCTTGCTTTTAACAGACGTGGATGGAGAGCCTCCTTGTTTATCTGGAAACAACCTTTGATAACTTCTTTCTATAAATTCCTCAGGTGGTTCGTCGTCGTCTTCGTCAAAAGTGTTCAATGGATTGAAGCCTGAGAGTGGTGTCTCGGGTTTCTTGGGTCGTCTGGGAGTGGGTGTTACCACAGGTGTCGGTAGTCTTCTTTTTCTGTTGGGTCTGTTGGCGGGTGTCATAGACTGAGTCGGTTCTTGTTTGGTTGGCTTTTTTATAGTTTTGATCAACTGTTTGACCAGAGCCTGCACGGGACCCGCTTCAAAGTCATCCTCATCTTGTACCGTTCCACCAGTACCGCTTCCACCCGATGGTCCAAAAGGTTGACGCACACGTTGCGTCCATTTTTGAAACTGACTATGGACACCCCTCAAACGAGCCTCTTTCATACTATCGTCTTGATTATTTTTCAAGATCATGTGTTGTTTGGCAGCCAGTTCAGCTGCTTTGGTAAGACGTTTATCTTCTACAATTTCACCCTTGTATTGGTCTTGCAAACGTAAAAACTCGGTTGAATTTTTCACTTCAGTACTTGTCAGTGGTTCACCCATGTTATACGCAGTATCGCACGCAATTGGAAAGCTCTCTGAAGACCGCACCTCCTTTCTGTTTCATCAACAGTTGTCGTCTGGCTTTTATGCCTGCTCTTCGTCGACTCAATTGGCGAAGTGTGTTGGCGTAAGGTCTTAACCTTGCCTTGGCTTGGTTAGAGACGGGTACGACACCTTTTATGACGTTGAGGACCAATTCACTCACGGCATTGATTTGATCGCCATTAGCCATTCGAAATTGTTCTTTGCGTTTGTGATCGTCGGCTTCTCTCAGGACAGACTTGAGAAAGGCAGCTTGTCTTTTCACTCGAGAGGCCATTCTTGTTCTTTCAGTAGTAAGGTCTGCTGGTCCTTTTTATACGGTTTTTAGCTTGGAGCGAAGCTTGTCCATGACGTATTGAACCAACACTTTGAAAAGTTCTACCAGGCAGAACGAGACCTCCTCGCTGACTCCGTCTGATGTGTCCACGGGGTCTTCTACGTTTACGATGATAGTAGGTTCTTCTGGCCCCGTTGGCTCCTCTGACCATCCCTTTTCCATGACGTGTGTCAAGTGATAATTCGAAAGAACTATCGATGCACTTTTATAGCCTAACGTGTGGCTCTTTCCAAACCTTTCTTGACACCAAAGCCCACACCAGCACCAATGCCACCCATTGCAGCCGCTTTGGCTCCTGCAATGGCTAAAGGAATGAGGAACGGTAGAATACCACCTCGCTGCTTTCCTCTTTTTGTCATTTTGGGTGTATAGTAACGTCGCAATGTACCACCGGTTTGCTTTTTTCGAGGTCGACGTTGACGTCGACTGGTCGTCTTCCTCTTGTAGTGTCTTGGCATTGTGTAGGAAAAAATGATGACGGTCTAATGACGTAGGCTGTATTTATACTTAAGGCCTATGTGTCGAAACCAATGCTTGTCCAGCGTCACGACATTGCTCGGGCGAAGGTGATTGGTCGAAAACCAAGCATGAATAAAACGAAGTTCACGCTGTAAGAGGTCTTTCCACTCCATCGTGTTCTGGCCAATACCTGGCGTAAAGTCTTGGTGAAGCAGTTTGAATGGTCCATTTAATCTCTTTTTTTAAATAGTCAAACTTGATGATGTCGATATGATGTTTGAGGTCTTCCCATTCTTGTGCCTGAGCCAAACAGCGACAAAGGTTCCAGTGATACCCCTCGCACAGCACAGCTGGGTCGATTCCACGTCTGTCGGGTGTTATGTAATCAGCCGCAGGTGTTGTCATTTCGGCCATTAATCTTTCATAGTCTTCTCGATCGACATTGACAATAGGACGAAAATGGGGTGAACCTATTCCTGCCGGTCTGCTCATTCTTTCGCTCAATTCAGTAAGCTGTCCTCCTTCTCTTTGCCTTCTTTGCCTTTCCCTTTCTCTTAGCAGTGCGTTTTCGAACGAGACTCGTTGGGACATCCGTCGGCAAGGTGTGCACTTGACTCAACCCCTCTTGACCGGTGAGATGACTCCACAATCTGTATCGATCGTCCGAGGCCGGGTGAACATCGATGAACAAATAACCATAGGGTCTAGAGGTCACTTTGTTAAATAGATCCAACACGTGTCTCCAACGTTGAGGGTAGGCTTGCAATAGTAAATTGCGAATGCCCGTCTGATCGCGTGGACTTTTGAAAGCAATGATATAATGAGCGTTGCGACTGATGGTCTTGGAAAATTTGCCAGGGGGAAATAAATCCTGTGTGAGGTACAACACGGTAATGTTGCGATGATGAGAGTCTTTGGTAAACAAATCCAACACGCGTTTATCGTCACTGCCCTCAGCCATGAGATCGTCTAGCACCAACAAACCCCCTTTGGTGGGTTTGAACCATTTGTCGAGGTGGGTTGGATCGGGTATGCCTTCATAAAACTGAATCTTGTCTTTGGTCTTCATGCGATCGAACCTCGGTTGCCATCGGTCATAGCAATACACAATCTTTTTAGGAGGCACCTGAAAGAGGGTCTTTTCCCGCAATAAATTTTCTGTTAATTGACTTTTTCCACTGCCAGACTGTCCAGCAATAATCACACTCGAGGGATGGCGAATCATTTTCCTAATTCTTGACACCTGAGTGTATATTCCTCAAACAGACGTTTTGAGGTAGACTGAAGAAGTTCCTCCATCTGATCTCTTAAATGCGTTTCGAAGATAGAACAAATAAAATCGAAAAAAAGGGTCCAATCACCTCTTTTGTCAGCTTCGTTAATCTTGTTGCAGGCCATGGTCCAAAAATAGCCGTCCCATTCGTCTATTTGTTGGACAGTGTGCACTCTTTCTATGGGATGCATTACCCAGTAGATGGCTTCTTGTGCCCCAAAGAGGTTACGAACAGAGTCAACGTCTCGTCTGGTGATCATGATGAGAAATGAGTGACGAGTGAAAGGGGTCTCGAGTTTTATGAGAAAAAATAGAGGCGGAGTCATTTGATTGATTGACAACATATGGTTTATTGATTTTGACAGCATAAGAAAGATTGGTAACTACAATTACATTGTTCATGGTCTTGCGGTTTTTCCAACATCTCTCTGACTTCAGACTTGATGAGTTTGGTCATTTGTTCCGCCACGCGTTGATCGTTCATGACTAGATTGTTGATGTTCCATCGCGCTAAAAAGTCTTGCAAGGATTCTCCTCTGGCTTTGGCTTTCAGATAAAATAACACGTAATGACCACACGTTTGACTGTCGAGGGCTTGAAGGCTTGTATCACTCCTTTGAATGACGGGCCATTTACTCCACCAACGGTGCAAGTCTGGATCACTGTATTGGGTGAGAGGTAGTCCATAACTGTCAAAGACTTCACATTCATTCCCTTCGGTCCATATGCCCAGCCAATGTTGACCCGGTTCCCCTGCTGGATCCGTGTTGACGATGTAAGCTTGTCTGACTTTGGTGTTGGGGTTGCGTGGAAGACGGTCCGCTGGATACACGCCCTGAAACATTCGTTTCAAACATCTGTCTTCTTTGGCCAGCGTGTTAAGAACGTCCGTACTGAGGGCCACAAACTCCATCCTTTCTCTTTCTTAGTCTAGAATGTTATACTTGACACCACCAAGGTTATTGATCTCAAATACATTTTCGTACTCGCTCCAGACCATCACGGTGATATTGTTAGTGGTGGCAGCGCTAAACAAGAGCTGCAGGCGCACATTGCCACTCTGTCTGGGATTTCTGTACTCTGCATTGTCAGCTTTTCCGCTGGGCACATTGTTGAACATGAACAGGGTGCAATTTTTACCATGTCCCCAATCACCTGGTTGAACCATGGGTGAACCATCTTTGTAATACCCTTCACTGGCAGTCAGGAAACGATCGTACCCCAGGAAATCCGTTCCACTTTCTTGATCATTGACATTGCTCAACTTTAAGGTCTTGTAAGGGTACTCTTCGCCTTCCACCGTTTGAATGATTTCTGCCAGTTTAAATTTTTCATAAGCAAAGCAGGATCGATTGATTTTTCCATTAAATCCATCGGTGTGAATCAAAGCGACAATGTTTCTGTCAGGCAATCTGTTCAAGAAGATATTGTCTTGTTCCCAGAACGTGGATCCGCTAGGAATGGAGAAGGTTCTTAGTTCACTTCTCACCACAGGATACGGAACCGCTTGTTTGCTCAATTGTCGTTCCTTGGCCAGTTTCACATAGACGCTGGAATTCAAGGTCAATTTTCGCATGGACAATTCAACCTTAAAGTCAGAAGCTGTGAAATAGGGAAACTTCTTGTCAGTGAGGGTTCCTTTGTTGGGTGTTCCATACAGGTAAATGAGGTTCGAATTCAGATAACAGTCCAAGTCGATTTGCACGCCTGGCACCAACGCTTTTCCCGTTTGAAAAGCGGCCAAGTTGGGTTTGACAACAAAGGTGGTCCACCGTTTCAGTTGCAAAGGTTTGGTGATTTCTTCTAGGGCTTCAAAGGCACCCTTTCCTTCTGCTTCTGTCAATTTATCAGAGTTGGCTGCTGCGACAGTCAATTCTGCTGTTGGGTTGACTTGGTTGACCCAACCTTGTGCAGCCAGTTTAGTCTTGCCTTCTTCTTGGGAGAAGTTGAGAAGGGTCTTGAGATAAGCATCTTGATGGTACTGATTAGTCTGCTGCGTCATCAACACCTGATTGAATTTCAAATCCATCTGTCGGAAGATCGTGTGAGCAAAGTTGTTTTGAATGGCCATGTTTCGAGTGTCGTTGCCATCGGAAGCAGTTCTTGCACCGGAGGTTTGCACCTCGATGCCCGTGTAATCCGTACTGGGATGAGTGAGTCGGCATTCGATGATCAGTTTGGCTTCTCCCAAATCATAGAAATCCTCCGAAGCAGGTATGTTGAAGGAGATGGGGTTGAGTCCTGTCAAAGCCGGTCTGAACCGCACTTCTCGGCTAGCTTCATAACGGTAGTCCACATTAGGGAGATCGAACAGGTTCAGAGACATGATGAACAATAATGCTAGGCTTTACTGTTCTCGCTTATTTATACTCTATTTGCTTGGTATACGCTTTAACGTTGTTTCTTTTTGCTAGGCATACGTTTGACAATATTATCGACTGCCCATTTGGACATCGAAACGTTGGAAACCTCCTCGCTGTTTTCCCTTGGTTCTCTTGACCATCCATTCCAACACGTCGCTGTTAGGTCTACGCTGTCGGCTCTGTCGAAACACAGCCTCCTCCAAAGGCGTGTAGATATTTCCACCTTTTTGGTAAGGTGATTTGTACCGACCCGTGGCACGTTGTTTGCGTTGTCTATTTTGGGTTTTCAAAAACCCTCCAGGTCTGCCCATTATGAAAAAATGTCTTTGACTGCTCTGACTCTCTTGGCAGCCTTTTTATAGGTGGCGCTGGCCTTTCGTTTGACGGCTCCTTTGGCGAGTCCCACGGCAATAGCAGGTGCTTTTCTTTTCAGGTCTTTGGAAAATCGGTCGATGGATTGTCCCAAAGCCTTAGTGGTTGGAACCCCTTTTTTCACCTCGGCGACACCTTTCGACAGTTCTCTGATGACCATAGGACCGGCAATCTTGACGAGGTCGTCTGTGACGCCTCTACCCTTTTGTCGGGTCATGACGGGTGAGTGATAACGGTTTAAGCTTCCTCCTCGCATTTTTCTGTTGTAATGACCCAGACGTGAATAAAGTCCGCTTTTTATAGTTGTCTAAGTCCTATGGTGACAATGGTTTTGCCGGGTGGTAAGACTGCCAAGGGGCCTCCTGGGGTAGCCAACTCGAATTCCACGATTTCAAGTTCGTTCCCTCTCAATGGAATCCACTCCCTTGTGACGGGTTCTGAGGTGGCTGTACCTTCACTCTTGCGTTCGATGGTCACTTCGCGCAACAGAGGGTATCGATCTCCACCCACAATGGTGGGGTTGGCCACGTTAGAGTATAGTAACACGGTACGTCTGGTTTTTCCCACCAATTTGTCGAAAGATTCGTTGAGTCCAGTGAAATGCCAAGTCACATATCGACTAAACTTGTAGTAGTCTCCGTCCAAAGCCACCATTTGGGGAGATGATCCTGACGCTGCTGTAAGGGTAGTGGTGTCTGGTGTTTTGTTGGCTCTGTACACTTTGTGATCAAACGTGAACAGTCCCAAGTCGAGGGAGGAAGCCCAAGGAAGATTTGAAGGAAGATAGGAATCTTCTTCTGTCACAAACGATGTATTGACTCCATCTGTGTAGACTTGTCTGGTAGGGTCGTAGTCCACAAAACCAAATAACTTGGCTATGTCTTTGTGGATTGAAAAGGTACTGTAATCCTTAGTGGTTTCAGAGGGCACTTTTTCCAACATAAATCCGTTTGCATCAAACTTGACAGAGGGACACCATTCTTGTGGAATAAGCAGTAAATCATCGTTTTTAACATTTTTTTCAAACTGAAGTTGTTTGATAAACGTGTTATGCAGATCCGTCATCACATTTTGCCAAAATTGCACTCCGCTGCTGACGGGTTTATCATCACTCATGATGTATTTCAACGTGGAGGATTTGGTCATGGTTTTGAGATTCACAGATTGGAATTTTCCTTTGGAATTCTTGTTGGTAAATTGAAGCATTTTCAAGGTCGATTTCACCACCTTCAAGTCCATGTCGGAACTGATGACGCTGCTGCTTTGACTATGATCTGGCACCGTCATTTTCCACAAGCTGACGTACCATCCTTCTCCTTTCAGGGTCATTCTTTCGGGTAATCGCACCTTGAAACTAGCATTGGTGTTGTCGGGAAATTCGTCCGTGGTGTCGCTCACAAAAGTCAAACGAATAGGCTCAGACATGGTGTTATAATGACTCGATGGGGTTACAACCAAGTATTTATCTTCTTTCTGCTGGATGGAAATTTACTGACAGTAGACCGAAAGGTACATTGCTTGGGATGAAACGACACTGTCTTGACAATGTCTGGAAAACTCCTGGCTAGTTCCATGAGGGTCATTTCTGTCTTGGTTTTGGCTTTGCTTTTCCTCATGCGCGGCTGACGTCCGGCTTGTCTCCTTTTCTTTTTGGCTTTTCTTTGGCGGTCCTCTGCATCGTGAAACGCTTTGGCATAAGCCCATTGCTCGCGGGTTGGACTTGCCCATCGTCTTGGGGTGGAACGTCTTTTTTTACGCGGTTTTGTTTTTCTTCTTGCCATTGTCTGCTGGGATCCAACTATCGTACTTGCTGGGCCAACCTTTCCAACGGACTAACACTTGTCCTTTTTTACGTTTGAGAATCTTTTCTACGCGGAATAGACTGTTGTCATCCGCTTGCACCTTTTGAAGATCTTGCTCGTAAAATGTCCCTTTTATAGGCGTGCCGTCCCATTCACTGACTTTGTAAGAGGGAATGGGGAGTCGTCGCACCTTGGTGACCAAAAACACTTCTTCGGTCCAACCGGGTAAGTACTCTTTTTTGAAGGGGCGATGCTTTTTGTTGAGTCGAACTTTATCCCCCTTGCGTAACTTGGGAGGTTTGACACGTTGTCGGGTGGTTTTGTAAAGACGTTTCCACACCTTTAGTTCGTTGCTTGGTTTCACCTCCAAGGGTTTCATACCAATGCTGCGATGATAGGTGGTGTTGTAGGTATTGATCAACTGTGGTAAGGCACCGAGGTACTTGAGGGTGTTCTGGGCCGTGAAATAGCGATACATTCTCTGTTTTAGGGTTCGATGCCACCGCTCTACCACGCTAGCTTTGCTATCACCCTCTGTAGAAAAGTGATCCCAACCCTCCTTTTTGAACCAGGCTTGGACAGCCGCGCTGTAAAATTCAGAGCCTTTGTCCGTTTGCACCCTCAAGGGTCGACGTGGGTGAAGTCGTTTTTTGACGCGTTCCAAGGCGCTCACCATCTCTTTGGCCCCTTTGTTCTTGATGGGTTCTGCCCAGGCTGCTTTGCTAAAGACATCGATCACCGTCAACAGATACTTCATACCCTTGTTCCATTTGCTCAACTTTTGCATGTCGACCAAATCTAATTGCCATTGCTCATCTCGCCCATACACCATCGTTGGAAGGGTAGGAAATCGTTTTCGTCTGGGTTTGTGCAGGGTGTAACTGAGCACGGACTGCAGTTCCTTTTCGGCTTGTTTGCGGGATAGACCGTGAGCCTTGGCAAAAGGTTCAACCCCACCTAAAGCCCCCTCAAGAGCGGGATCCTCGTACAATTCTTGAACGTTCATGACGGGAGTATGGTCGAATAATTCTCTTTTCAATGTCTTTTATACTTTGCAAGGCCTCGAGACCCTGTCGTCGGTCAAAGTTGTCTTGTAACCACCAAACAAAGACACAATAACGTCCCCAATTCCACCCCCCTTTCATGACATGGATATACACCACGATGGGATTGGCTTTGGTCATGGGAAGGGGTTGGTGAGATAACACCTGACGTAAAGCCTTCAGACAAAACCACTCCACATACAACCACATGATGATCAAACTGTTGTTTAATGAGAAAAAAACGCTTCTTTTTATTGACAAGGTGCAAAAATTTTTACCATAACAAATTTGAAAGTGCAAAAAAATTTACCATAACAATTTTTAAACGGTAAAAATATTTACCATCAAATTACAAAGGGTGCAAAAAAAGTCACTCAAAAGATACCCGTTCCATATTTTTTAAATGTTTCGTAGGAATAGGGTGCCATGCCACACTCCCTTCTTCGAGCATTATTGGCATCACATTCTTGCAAAAATCTCTTTTCTCTCTCTTGTTCTTGCTTGTCTGTTTCTTTCTTAAACTCCTGTATCCAGGGATCTTCTCTTATCTTTTTCTGGCTCTTCCTGGCTCTTTTTCTTTCTTGCCAGTCCTCGTACTCCTTGGTTCCTGGTTCGGGAGGGGGCTCTGGAAACGACCTTTCGCTTCCAAACCAACCTACATCATCATCATCATCATCATCTGCTACGGGTACCATGTGATTACTGGGTTCTTTTTTGTAACTTCCAAACAAATGTGGTTTTCCATGTACACTCCAAGGCACCATATGATTGCTGCTGTTGTAACTCTTCCTAAAGTAATCTTCCTTCAAAGGTTTTCGCCTTGTGATGGGTTCCTCTCTTTCTGGCGAGAAAGGTATTGGTCCCGGCCATCCATTCAATCTGTTTGGCGGTGGTCTGTATTTAGTTTGGTTTTGCCGCTGTGGTGGACGGTACATAAAATCGTCCATGGAGGGTTGACTGGGTCTCTTGGGTTTCCAGGGGCTCCAGTGAGTAAACTGAAAGTAACCACATTTCTTCTCCTTGTTTTTATTGCCACAGCAAAGAAACACCTTGTTATGGTTCTTTTCACTCTTGCTCAGCTTCATGTTAGGCACCAGGTTACACTCGCACCTCAAGCTGGCGTCTTGGAACAGGGGAAGCAGCTTCTTGTTGGTGATGTTCTGCAACACATCGAGCACTATCCCATAAGTCTCGCTGGTAAACCAAACACAGCAATTGGGATAGGGACATCGGTAGTACAAAGCACCAAATTCTGCATCGGGATTCAAACAATTCACGTTCTCACAAGGATGGAATGGACATGGCAGGATACCCTGATTGATAAAATCCGCATTCGCCTTGTCTCTCTCTTCTTGGGTGATTTCTTGCATCAACTTTTCAATGGGATCCGTTTGGGTGACAGGTGGGAGAGACACGGGAGAATAAGGATCTAATGGTGAGTTAGATGGCTGTGGTGTAGCCAGTTCTGGGGCCGTACTGTTTGGCGGAACCAGATGACCGTAGGTCTTTTCCAACCAATCCTGGGTCACAATCATGTCTACTTGCATGGGCTGTTTTTTGTAAAAGTCCATGAGTTGGCGGAAACGTGCTTGCTTCTTAGCCTCTTCGTTCAAGGANTCTTGCTCAGCTTCATGTTAGGCACCAGGTTACACTCGCACCTCAAGCTGGCGTCTTGGAACAGGGGAAGCAGCTTCTTGTTGGTGATGTTCTGCAACACATCGAGCACTATCCCATAAGTCTCGCTGGTAAACCAAACACAGCAATTGGGATAGGGACATCGGTAGTACAAAGCACCAAATTCTGCATCGGGATTCAAACAATTCACGTTCTCACAAGGATGGAATGGACATGGCAGGATACCCTGATTGATAAAATCCGCATTCGCCTTGTCTCTCTCTTCTTGGGTGATTTCTTGCATCAACTTTTCAATGGGATCCGTTTGGGTGACAGGTGGGAGAGACACGGGAGAATAAGGATCTAATGGTGAGTTAGATGGCTGTGGTGTAGCCAGTTCTGGGGCCGTACTGTTTGGCGGAACCAGATGACCGTAGGTCTTTTCCAACCAATCCTGGGTCACAATCATGTCTACTTGCATGGGCTGTTTTTTGTAAAAGTCCATGAGTTGGCGGAAACGTGCTTGCTTCTTAGCCTCTTCGTTCAAGGACTCCTCCAGGGCGCCAATTTTTTCCATGGACTGCAACAAATTCTCCCCTGTACTCTTTCCATTGTCCGGCAAGGAAAAAATGTGATTCATGGCTTCATTCAACTCCGACGATTCTACCACGTCAACGGTCACCATCTCATCATTCGTCTTGGCTTTCTTTGGTTCTTTGGACTTTTGGGACTTGGTTCTCTTCTTGCTCTTGTCGCCGTTCATGGCTGGTTGTGTTGAGAGAATGACCACTGAATAAACTCTCTTCTTTTTATGCCCCTCTTAGGACCGCCCCCTGTCCATCATCTTTGACATCATTTTTATTGTTTCATCCTGATGGTGCAATACTTGTTTCATTCTGATGGTGCAATCCACATTCTTTCACACCCACACCCACATTCTTTCACGCCCACACTCACATTCCAAAACTCTTTGACCAAATAAGGAAACATTCTTTACTCATCATGGTGCAATCCACATTCTTTCACACCCACACCCACATTCCTACATTTTACTTTTGATGGTGCAATCATACGTATATAAGAAACCACTCCATTCTCATTTTCACTCACACTCAGGCAGAAGCAAGGTCGAAGCAACAAGAGCAGATAACAGGTGAGGACATGGCTTTAGACGATATTGGCGCCCTTATGTTTTCCCACGATATCGGTTTACAAAACAAGACCTATTTTTATAGAGAAATAGGGTTATGTAATTTGCATGGGGACAGCCACGCCTTATTTTCCTACAACCTTCCCAGCCCTGTTCATTTAACCAAAACAGACATTGCCTTAATGAAACAAAAGACTGTCAATGAACATGGTATGCTCTATGAAATTAGTAACGATCAGCTTCACCCGTTTGAATACCTCGAGGCAGACGTGACGGCTTGGCTGCAAAGCGTGTTGACCAAGGACAAACCCGCTGTGGGTGTGTGCGACGACGGTCCACTCAAGACCTTGCTCAAGTCCCTGGTTGTTCCTTATGTGGACTTTGAAATAGAACCCAAGGATCAAAGCATCGGTACCATGGGCGTTTTTCCCTCGGGCCAAGAGTGGCCTCTCTGTCGAGAACACTATTACGGGAACGATGACGTGGGGTTTGTCGATTGCGCAAGAGTAAAGGCGTGTCAGATGGCGTGGTGGGTTCGTAAACAAATCTGCTACGAACCCTCGTTGGAACGAGTGAACCGACAACGCGTTATCTGGCAAACGCGATGCGACCGATTGATGGACATGTTATTATGTAACCATTGCATCGACGAAAAGGACGAGGCCTACGAGAAGGGAGAGGGTCTGCAATGGAGCCCCAACTGCGACGGGACCTGCCGACGAGTGTCTTACATTTTAAGGGACATGACTCACAAAATACACGCTAAACCCGACTATGCGGATGAAAAAGTAGAATGTATGTGGGTCTTTAAAGAGGATGGCCATTAACTCTCTTTTTTGTTTTTTATTACAGACAATGTTGACTATTTTCACCGGAGCGCCTAAAGGAACCAACGCCATCGTGCAACACTTGTGTGCCAAACATAATCACCACTGTGTGGTTAAAATACCACCTTGCTCTAGTTGGACTACCAAAATCGCACCGCTTCAACGGTCCGAATTGGAGAAAGCCACCCAGGATGTCAATGCGGTCGCTTTACGAAGCTACAAAGTCCTTTCCTCCCCCATCCTTATAAGTCAAGTCAAAGCTCATTGGCATATCGTTTACCAGGCCTCGATAATCCTGGTGCTGGGCTACAGAGATCACATGCTTAAAACAATTAATCCTTCGGTGGTTCGAGGTCTGTGCGATTGGACAGTAGAGCTCGCTAAATTCATGAATAAACCGCTCTATTTTTATGATTTAATGTACGAGGAATGGTTATGGTGGAGTCCCCTCGATCGAGAATTTGTACAAGTAGAAGGCATGCGCGAATTAAATGTGTCACCCCCCTCTTTACAAAACAACGTGGCCATTGTGGGAACGAGCGAACTGACCACCGAAGCGCAAATAGCCCTGGAAAACTTGTTCGAGTCTAAAAAATTGTAATTTTTTTTGTTTGGACGGATTTCGTTTAAAAAATGACTTTGTAGTACGAGAATTGGGATGGTGTGACAAGTCTGGCGAGCGGATGGGATTTATTCATTATTCACACGATTATGTCTGGTCTAGTCTGACCTAGCAAGAGCGGAGAACCGTGAAGTATTTGCGTGACATGGTGACCGGGTTAACCTTTAAGCCGAGACCCGTGGAGTTTCAAAGGGGACGCATTGGTCTGCAAAAAAAAACGTGACATCTTTTCTTTGTGGGAACAATTCAAGACTCTGACTCATTGCGTAGTCACCTACAAAGAAGGAACTTTAGAAAAGACTTTTTTAACTCAATTAAAAATTCCGTTTGTTAATTTAGAAGAGTATGGTTGTCCGAAATTAGATTATTTGCCAGACACCTATTATCCACTTGTTAATTGCGGCTGTCATTTTAATTTGAGCTTTCACTGTAATATAGCCGAGTGTAATGATGCGTTGGTTCAATAAAAACACACAGTAAATGATTTTAAAATTGTTTTATTCACTGTTTTCTAGTTCTCCCTTGATCCACAAATACTTTACTTCCTTGGGGTACAAGTACTGAAGAGCTTGTCTTTCTGCCACGTGCGGCCAGCGAGCCATGACGACCTTCACATGATCCGCATTTAAGTCACTTTCTTGCCCGATTACTTGTTGTGCGATTTTTTTGGCGTGATACCTGGCTCTCGCCTTTGCATTGAATGTCTCTCTATTTTCCTGCCTCCATTTTCTAGTCGTTTCGTTTAACTTCGCTCTGTTTTTTTCTCGGTACCTCCGCCAGCTCTCTTGACGTTTCTCCTTATTTTCCAGACACCATTTCCTGTTCAGCATTGCCTTCTTCTCTTTATTTTCCGGTTTGGCATACCATTTTCTTTGGCTTTCCTTTCTTTTTTCTTTCTGCTCTTGGCTCAGGTTCTTCCACAATTTACGGCTCGGTACGGGCATGATGAACTAATGCCGTTGTGCAATAACCTCTTCGGGTCACCGTTTTAATATCCAGTATTCATAAGGCGCTTATTCCCAATGGTCCAAAAGCGCTAGAATGATGGTGCAATACTCATTTCATTCTGATGGTGCAATACTTGGCTATACAAAAAAAGCAGCGATAGGCTCATTTTTATCATTCGAAGCCATGGATGTTCAAGTACCTTCCCTTGCCGTTCTATCCGCTGAAAATGCTACTCTAAACGATCAACTACAATGGCTGTACGATTTTCCCTTTGCTGCCCTAATCAGAAGGCCTATTTTTCAGACCGTGTTGAATGACATCCTCAAATCGCTGACCCCAAATCAGCTTTTAGCGTACATGGACGACCGCCCCTACAATCCAGCTATGACGGACAGAATTGTAAAAGAGATGTTTCGGCGATTTTCTTTGGACACCTTGGAACTAATGTCCAGGAGTTTCCATGTAGATCACCCGTTTGCCAAAGCCATGGATTTTGCGATCCACAAACGTCGAATGTCAGGTACGGTGGTTTTATTAAATAGATGGATAGTCCATACTTTTCCTCAATTGTATCCCGTAAAAATGATGTTTTTATCCTCCATTAGGGAATACGGATCTTGTTTTTGGTGCGACGGCTAAAACTTCGTTTTTCAATTATACAGGAACTCACATTGTTTGCAATCAAAACAGATTTCATAAAAGATTTATTGCTGCTTATCCTTGGTACCACGTTGAGGACAACATTCAAACGATTCGATTACGCTGTTGTATTTGCTATGCACATGTGCGTTCTATTTATGACATGGATATTCCATGCGGTGGATGCCAGATGATGATGGACCTTGGTTTAGAATTATAAATGTTTTGACTTTTTCAGTACCTATGAAAATCTTGGTTAAAAGAATGGAACTTTGGCGAAACACAAGACAGGGACGCAATTATGTGTGGAACTCACCCCGCGCCATTTACATTACTGATTCTTTTGCAGACACGTTTCACATCATAGAGTGTTTCGTAGGACATAATGACAACAGAACAGCGTACACATACTTTTAATTTTTAATTTTTTTGCAGTCACAATCCGTTGGGTTTCGACACATCATGTAAAAGAATGCGTCTTAAAAAAGTACCGTTTCCTTTTTCAGTCTCCAACCTTGTCATAAACAACAATGAAATCAATTACCACACAAGGGATGGCAAATTACGAATGCAATGTAAAGACTGTGGTATTCACGTCAGACCTATAACCATGATCTGTCAACCCTGTGGAGGATGTGAACTTTATTGTTTTGAAGACTTTCTTGATTTTATGTTAGACGATTAAAAACACTTTTTATTTTTTTTAGAATCGATTCACGTTTTATCTCACTACTTTATGTTTCGCAATTGGCCTTATGAAGGACAAATTTCCGTCGTGATACCTGGAAACTGCTGTTTACCCCTCAAGGACACAAATCTTTCTGCTTCCCTTGTATGTATGGACCATGGTGGTCGATCCTGGATGATTATCCTTAATTTTTTAATTAACAGAACTGTGTTTATTCATTTTTTAGAAACCGTTCATGTTTTGAACTATTATCCCATATTTCGAAATTGGCCTCTAAAGGGAGAACTATGCCTTTTGATGCCGGGCATCCACGTTGTACCTATCAAGACAGATCTTTCTCCTTTTATTAAACAAACGATGTTTTAATTTTCATAGATTTAACGGATAACTACATAAATCACTGGACTGTGCTGACAAGTACCCCTCTGGAACCAGAAAAACTCATTCGTTTTCGAAAATACAATTCACCAGTGTCATTAGAGGACACCTTTTTAGTTTTTTCTAAAACCATAAACTGTACACAAGTCGAAGAAGTCTTTGTAGCTTTGTAATCTTTTTTTCACAGAGGGATTTTTCAACATAGTTCGACAAAGAGATTGGTGTATTGATTCCATGGACCGTGACAGGCATAAGTCATTACCTTTATTGGTCAAAACGAAGACATTTGTTCTTGTCCTCCAAAATACACAAAGACTGGAAAAGAAATCGATATAATCTTTTTCACGATTGGTAACTTTTTTCAGACGGGTTTTTGAAAACAGTGCGTGAAGGAGAGTGGTCTTCTTTTCCATGGTCTATTACAGGGATTAATCATTGCATCACATGGCCAAATAAAAGACATTTAATGTACCATCGAAATCCATTTATACTTTCATCACTTTCCAAATTT